TTTCCCATGAAAGCTTCCTTAAACTTGAGATCTCTGACTCTGAGAGAGAGAGCTTTCCAATTTCTTCAAAAGCTACGTTCTCTCTCGTTCTTACGACCTTTCAAGGTTTGTGTATGTCTTCTTCTTCTCGATTTCAATCCTTCTCGCTTTACGCATTATAGTCTGTGCAAGCTCTGTAAATTTAGAAGTTCCGATGAGAATCTCGTTAGCTTTAGTTGAAAAACGTTAATGGTGGGTCGATTTCACTGCTTTTCGCATTTCGTATTGATCGATCTGTGTAGATTCCACGTTAATGGACCGGTCAGATCGAAACGAAGAACAAATTTCATTTGTTAGATTCAAATTCTGGATCCGATTTTTGTATGATTCCATAGCTAGATCGGTTCATGTTTTCCAAATCTATCTGATTGATTTCACCATACTGAAATTTTCTGGATACTGAGTGATGATGTTTGTTTTGACCAGGAGGTCAAGAGAAGTCCAAGCTCCAATAATGGAGTGTGATTGTTTTGAGACACATGTGAATCAAGACGATCTCTTAGTGAAATACCAATACATCTCCGATGCGTTGATTGCTCTTGCATACTTCTCAATCCCACTCGAACTTATATATTTCGTGCAGAAATCTGCCTTCTTCCCTTACAAATGGGTGCTTATGCAGTTTGGTGCCTTCATCATTCTCTGTGGAGCTACACATTTCATTAACCTATGGATGTTTTTCATGCACTCCAAAGCCGTTGCAATCGTGATGACTATCGCTAAAGTCTCCTGCGCGATTGTGTCGTGTGCAACTGCGTTGATGTTGGTTCACATTATCCCTGATCTCTTGAGTGTCAAGAACAGGGAATTGTTTCTCAAGAAGAAAGCTGATGAGCTAGACAGAGAAATGGGTCTTATTCTAACCCAAGAAGAGACTGGAAGGCATGTAAGGATGCTTACTCATGAGATCAGAAGCACGCTTGATAGGCATACTATACTAAGAACAACTCTTGTCGAGCTCGGTAAAACTCTTTGCCTCGAGGAATGCGCCTTGTGGATGCCGTCACAGAGTGGTTTATATTTGCAGCTTTCTCATACTTTGAGCCATAAAATACAAGTTGGAAGCAGTGTGCCGATAAATCTGCCTATAATCAACGAACTCTTCAATTGCGCGCAAGCAATGCACATACCTCATACATGTCCATTGGCTAAGATTGGGCCTCCAGTTGGGAGATATACGCCTCCCGAGGTTGTCTCTGTCCGCGTACCTCTCCTACATCTCTCAAATTTCCAAGGCAGTGACTGGTCTGATCTCTCTGGCAAAGGTTATGCAATCATGGTCCTGATTCTTCCCACAGATGGTGCAAGAAAATGGAGAGACCACGAATTAGAACTTGTCGAAGTTGTTGCGGATCAGGTCCATTTCTCCTTTTCTTGTGTGCCAAATTGCATTTCCAGCCTTTGATTTTGTGTTTTGTCCCCTAACTTTCACTTCCTTAATTCATTCAGGTGGCTGTAGCTCTCTCACACGCTGCGATTCTAGAGGAATCCATGCACGCTCGTGACCAGCTTATGGAGCAGAATTTTGCTTTAGATAAGGCTCGTCAAGAGGCAGAGATGGCAGTACATGCTCGAAATGATTTCTTAGCGGTCATGAACCACGAGATGAGAACACCGATGCATGCCATCATCTCTCTGTCTTCTCTCCTTCTCGAAACTGAGTTATCTCCAGAGCAGAGAGTTATGATTGAAACTATACTAAAAAGTAGCAATCTTGTGGCTACACTCATCAGCGACGTTCTTGATCTATCGAGATTGGAAGATGGGAGCTTACTCTTGGAAAATGAACCATTCAGTCTCCAAGCCATCTTTGAAGAGGTAACTAACTAAACACTTCAGATTAACCACCAGAGAATATCTTTACAGAAAATACTAACTGGAATCTGCAGGTCATCTCGCTGATAAAGCCAATCGCATCGGTGAGGAAACTATCGACGAATCTGATTCTATCTGTAGACTTACCGGCTTATGCTACAGGTGATGAGAAACGTCTGATGCAAACTATTCTCAACATAATGGGCAATGCAGTGAAATTCACCAAGGAAGGCCACATTTCCATAATAGCTTCAATCATGAAACCCGAGTCCTTACGAGAATTACCATCTCCAGAATTCTATCCAGTTCCAAGCGACAGTCACTTCTACCTATGCGTGCAGGTCAAATCCCAATCTAACATTACTAAACAAAAACAAAATTTAGCTTTCTATTAGTAGTTCTTAATGTTTATTGCCCTTGGTTCAGGTCAAGGACACAGGGTGTGGAATTCACACGCAAGACATTCCTTTTCTCTTCACCAAATTCGTACGGCCTCGGACTGGAGCTCAGAGGAACCAGTCCGGTGCGGGACTCGGTCTAGCTCTCTGCAAACGGTAATTAAACCATCCATAAATAATTTTAAAGCATATGGTTTCACAAAAGGTTGAGTTTATGTTGATGTGTGAGTATGGTTTAGGTTCGTTGGGCTAATGGGAGGATACATATGGATAGAAAGCGAAGGGCTAGAGAAAGGCTGCACCGCTTCGTTCATCATCAGGCTCGGTATATGTAACGGTCCGAGCAGTAGCAGCAGCGGTTCGATGGCGCTACGTCTTGCAGCTAAATCACAAACCAGAGCTTGGAACTGGTGACTTGTAACATCAATTACATGGATCTTGTGACTTTTATTCTTTAACTAGACAGCAAGAGAAAGGAGAAAGGAGAAAGGAGAAACTCGTGTTATTTATATGCAATACATTACCCACCGGACGGTCTGATCTAACTTCTTGGGTTTTGTTGGGTGTAATTTGTAAATAATTTTACTATATTATACCGGGAGGTGTATTTTTCTTTTCTTTACCAACTTTTACTGAAATTCTACATATAAAATTTCAAGTATGTGACCAAAAAAAAAAAAAAAATCTCAAATGTATTTACAAATGACTCAAATGTATAATCTCAAAAATACTTACATCCAAACCAAATGTCATGCAAACTATTGTTTGTGAAATACAGATATACTTAACTACATGGAGATGTATCATATAATCTTGCTACCTATAATTACTCCGACATAATTGTTTTCTATTTTGTAGTTAATTTTAATTTGCATTTCTCTAAATTTTCATAACTACTATGTGAAAATATTATGTGATGTTTAACACCACAGAATAATCTATTGGACAGTTTTATTAGTAATGGTGGATGATGATAGTTAGGGCTTAGGGGATATTTTCTGCAATTTAGGTACTCGTTAATCCTAATGTGACATATAGACCCGAATCCATATAAAATCTCAGGAAAAAAGGGATCTCCCTTACCACTCTATCAGGAGATGTTTAATAAGAGCACCCACACATCATTTCACCGGTTTGATTCGGATTCCTTGATGAATAATAATTATTAAAACATATCCCAATCAATTTTAGATGTTAGAAGTGATATATTATCACGTTGACACACATTTAAACGTGCAACCAATTATGGTTCTTCCCTCCAACATCTAATCAACACTTGTCAATTATAATTTAGAACATTAAGATATTCCTATTATTTTTATTTATTTATAAAAGACCATTTGTTGAGACCAAACTATAACGAACCAAACAACCCAAGAACAAAAGCTTTTAACAATGGCATTTACATTCGCCACCATACTCCTCCTCGCACTGGTAGTGGTTGTGGCCACTGCCGATTACTATGTGCTGCCACAACCTTACGTTCCTAAACTGGTGATTAAACCACCTATCTCCTACACATCACCGGTTAAGACTCCATACTTGCCGAAACCAAATCCTGACACCGCCATCGAAGGTCTCATCTTGTGCAAATCTGGCTACAAAACCTACCCAATCCAAGGTGCAGCTACATATTTGATTTCATATTTTCCATACATTTCATTACATCTTACACACAAAAAAATGTAAACCAAATAACTCACTTTGTGGAGCACCAACTTTTTTGGAAAAAACTGAGTATATGTTCACGAATTTGAGTCGCTAGAAAACTATAATGAGTCGTTTGTTGTTGATAATAATTTTATTTAATGTATCTTTAAATACACATTTTAATCAATGGTGGTTCTAGTGGATTCACCATGTTGTTCATAGACCTAGGTTCGAGTCTTTCTACTACTATTTCAATCATGGTTGTCTTTGTGAACGCCTTAATTAAGTGTTATAATCTTTAAAGACACGTTTTAATTTGTGATTTATCGTCTGAAATTTTAGTAACGTGTCTCCAAAATATTCTATAATGTTGTACCGTCCAGGTTCTCTATTTTTGGGCTTATAGCTTCCTCTAGCGCGGACTGAACCAAACCCTTGATGTACTTGACAGGGGCCAAGGTTAAGGTTGTATGTCCTATCGTGGACTCGTACGGAAAGCTAGTGGCTAAGGTTACAATCTCGAGCTACCCAACGGACTTGAAGGGATACTTCTACGTCATCACGTACGGACTCTCCAACAAGGTGAAGAACATCAATGGCTGCAAAGTAAAGCTTGAGAGCTCTCCGGTTTCCACGTGTAAGATTCCGACCAATGTCAACAAAGGTGTCACCGGAGCTCCACTCTCTCCCGACAACTCCAAGTTCCTTAGCCACGACAACTTAAACATATATACCCTTGAACCTTTCTATTTCTCTACCCCCGTGGCTCCCAAACCGGTTTACTAGGGATGATAATCAACCATAAGATCGCGCATTATGTTTCTATTAACTGTTTGCTTTTGCTCTATTTATTTTTATTCTTTGACTCTTGGGTCTTGGCCATGTTTTGCCATTTTGAATTCCTAATAAGGATAAGATGTCAACGAGAAAAGAGAGTATAATTATGATTATTTCGCATCTATGAAACAACAGGGGGTTTCATCGTTATATTTTTGGTAAATGTAAGAACCTCTGGGCATCCAATTTAGAAAGATCGATATTTAAAATACGCTAAAATAAGAGGTTTTATACTTCAATAGATACTCAGTTTATTAATCAATTCTATGGGATACAAACGATGGAGTTCTGAATGGACCATCGAAAATATAGATGAATTCTATTGTTGCTTTCTTTATATTGTAATGTTGTTGGAGACCATTTTTTTTTTAAT